CCGTTATTCCTCGTGGGATGAGGTTTACCGGGGCTGCCAACAAAGGGCTTTGATGTCGACAGGGGGAACGTCCAGACTAGCGCTAGCCGACAAACAGCTGATCAGCTGTTTGTCGGCTCAGCGCAGCAGCCATGTAAATGTAAATGAAGCTGCGATCATTTAAATCGTGGCTTCATTTGCCTTTGCCAAAAAAACAAATCTACATGGCTCCGTCGATGGAGCCATGTAGTCTAGACGTACCCCCAGAGAGTTTACAATCTAAGTAGGAGAACAGAGATGGCAGCTGGCGACAGCTGGCCAGGTGGGGTTAAAGCACAAGATTAAAAGTCAGCAGATCTGAGCTCTGTCCTTGGCTCTGCCTCAGATTCTGTGGGTGATCTTGGGCAAGTGTCTTGACTTCTCTATACTCCACCTCAGGGATCCATCAGAATTGTCAGGCCCCTGGGAAAGATGGGAACCCCACTATGCACTCCCAGAAGGGTGGAGATGGGCAGAAAGGGTGGAGATGGTCTGCATGGGGCTCAAGGGGCGATTTAAAGGGCCCTGGGCTCCCACTGCTGCCACAGTAGCAGCAACAGGAGTGGTAGCCAGAAACCCCAGGCTCTTTTGAATCTCCAGACCCTGGGATAGCTCCCTGCTTTGCCCCTCTCATCCTTCATCAGTGGGCCTGACTCCACCTTTCCCATCTGTAAAATAACATACAGATAAAATAAACAAAACCTTATCCAAAATTTTATCCCCAAAATAGTGACATACTATTTTGCTGCCATCTGTCACCACAGCTATCTGGCACCCTGCAAGAGAGCACACCATGGTACCTAATAAAAGATAAAAACAGAGCTTTTTTTTCAGGATTTTGAGAAGCAAAATGGAAGCATCTGTGTTCTAGTTCAAAGACAATATAATATTAGAAGTCCATCCTTCCTTCTGTGTTTGGAGGAAAACATAAAAAGCCAAATGCTGGTGGGTAGCCGTTATTTTAAAACAAATAGGACAGAAATAGGGAGACAAAGAAATATTCTGTAAGCGCCTTTTACACCTTAAATTCTATTTAATTACTTGTTTCGTAAGTCCACTGTACTGCCCAGAATATCTGCACCACTGCATGCTACACCTCTCCTTTGAAAGTATCTGCTCTTCTAGGGCTTGTAAGGCCTTTTGGCTGTCTCCAACAGTAA